AATATAGGTTTTTGCCACTTTTTGCCACTTTGCTTGGCAAAAACCTGTTTTTGCCAGGACGGTTTTTACCGGTATTTACCATGGTTTTTTCCACCTGCGGCAAAATCTTGCCAACCCTGATGCTTATTGAAAATAGTGATACTTACTTTTATCATTATAGCTTGTTTTGCAAATGATTCAAAATTCTGCACTTCTTAATTGTTAGAAATAAACATACAAACAAAAAAGCTTGGAGCTATTAATAAAGTCAAGAACTAAAAAGAATAATTTAAAATTTGGCATTTCTTAAATATTAGAAATAAGCTAAAATAAACTTTCAAAACTTGAAAGTACTTGACTTAGAAAGTTAGAGTTTCTAAGTCAAGAATTACTGCTATTTCGTCAAGCTAAAAACTTTTATTCATTTGAAAAAGCATATTAAGCAAAACTTAATTAAAAACAAAATTACATGTTCAGTAGTCGGGGTCACGGTACCGAAGCATACGATAGCAAGTGACTAATTTTGCGCATTTTTCATTGCCCAGTCGCTTTTCTGAGTTTAGTATGGATGAGTCCAAAATTCTAGAAGATTCTGTCAATGGAAGCCTGTCATTGAGGATAATGATAACAAAAGGTTATTGCAATGTTGCAAGGAAATTCTAAAAGGATATCCCAGGCTTTTTCATGTCTCATTTCTGTGTAAAATATTGAAAACAAAAATGATAAGAAAAGTTTATTTTATGAGGCTTTCTTTTTATGTGTACATGTGTTTCTCAAAGCAAGATTTTATGAATGAAAGGAATCAATCTTGACATTCTTCAGTAATGTAATATGCCAAACAAAGTGATGCTTGGAAATGTTGAAAATTTTGTTTAGTATCCTAATATTTTACTTCAAATAGTATGTTATGATATAAACATGTTGAGAATATGCAAGAATCTGTTCTTAAATATCTTTTAACAACTTTTTTTCTAATTTTATTGCCCAAAAATGTATTCATTTTAAATTATAAGCAGTTAAACTCAAATAAAAATACAGTTTTACCAAAACTACGGTTTTTGACATTTTCGACAGAGGGTTTTTTGACATGACGGTAAAAACCATGGTAATAACCGGTAAAAACCGTCATGTGTCAAAAACTTGCCAACCCTGCCTTTATAGTGATTGGTACATTTATTTTAATTTTGGAAATAAGAAAATAGCATTATTTAAAATGAATTATAATAACAAAAATGTATTAAATTTTCAAATAAAAATAAATATTTTCTTTTCACTGAAAATATTGCTTGAAAAAAAAAATTTCTCCTAAAAATATATATATTTTTTAACCATTAACTAGTTCTGACTTAAAAAAATTTGCAATTGAAATTCAAATCTCATAAATTTAAGAATTTAATAGCATTCGATTTAATGATGCCATAGTCAGTGTTTTCACAACAGCGCGAAAACGCGAGAATCTCATATATTTTTTCTTTTCTCGCAATAAAAATTTATTAAAGCGAGAAGTTTGCACACTCTATTAATCAATTTCAAAATACACAAATTTTGGAAAAAATTTTGTCTTTTGCCATTTTGAATAAAATCCGTTGCACTTTTCTTCCTTGATCTTTCATTATTTTGAACATCGGTCCTTGTTATCTAGCTTCCCTATTTACTAGTATAGTTCAGAGCCGGTGCGAACAGCAGAACACCACTCACCCGAAACCCTTTCTCAGCAACCACGTGTTCACCGTAGGTAAGGTTTCTTCATGTAAGACGTTTACATTTTTTGTGCATGAATGTAAGATGGACAAATACCTTGTTAAGGCAACATCTACTACAAATAAAAATGAAACAAATGTCGGTAGAAACGGTCAAAACAAAACAAATACGGATATTTTCAGCAAAATAAATATTATAGCTGATGAAAAAGTTGATATAGAACATTTTCCATATGATGATGCAGCAAAAATATTCTATTAGAAGATGTTAAAAATTTATTATAATTAAAGAAATAATTTTTTTCCAAGTCTATTCGTGTTTTTTTAATTTTTAGAAATCTCACTTAACTTTTTTTAAATCTCACCCTGTTTTTGAGAAAGGGTGAGAAATTCTCTCCCATTTTTTTTTCTGTAATGAAAACACTGATAGTATATCATAACTACGTTAAGAGCAGAACAAAAAGTTTTAGGATTGATCTTACTATGTTGCTCAAAAGAGATCTTGAGAACAATATTTTTATCCAAACCCTCTGAATCAACAAGTTTCTTTAGTTCCTCTTCGTTTAAATCCTTTTCGTCAGAAAAATCTTTAATGGCTCTTTCTTTAATCATAGAGTCCAACAAAAGTATTGGCTTGCACATAATACTTATTTTATCACCCATCTGCAAAATAAACATAATTTATAATAAAATTTCAGAAATTTTTGTCTGTAGCTTATGATTCATAGAAGAAAAAAAATAAAAATATATTCTCAAGAAATTAGAAAACAAAAAGAATGATTTTGTCTGCAATGATATATCATATACAGGGATGGCATTTAACCAACACCTCCTAGAAAGAACAGGCCTCAGCACGGGTTACCATAAATATCCCTTAGTAGTCCAAACGTAATGACATATTTTGTATTTTCAACCACTGCACAGCTTAGTACCACTAACATTATGACATCTTGCTTATTTTTCGTCTACTGCGCAGTTAACTTCGTCACATCGGACTACTAAATTGATATGTGCTGAGGCCTTTCTACTTCTAGGAGGTGTTGATTTAACTCCCTTTTTGCTAAACAGTGCTTGTTGTTTATTCCATTTTAGGTCAAGCATATAAATTTTATAAAAAGTGATATTATTTTCAATGAAATATGTCTACATTACATTCATTAAGATAAAAAAAAATTTTGCATATAAAAAATAGTATTTTATTTCAGAAATAAAATGATGTGTATGGTCACCAAATTAAAAAATAAACCATTTAGTATAATGCATGTTTCTTTTAATGATTTTTTTTTTATTTTTTATTTTTTTATTTACTGACTTGCAACTTTAATCCATCATAAAAACATGATGATAAATCCTAAAAGAAGTAATTATGCATTTTCAAAAAATTTCCTTTGTCAATAACCGTTTTAAGTTAAATAACATTAATAGTTGAAAAATTACTCAAAGTGTTTACTCCAATTGAATTACTATAAATTTTTGGGTGTTTTTAGAACTCTTGACAATAGCAGAAAAATAAAATTAGTGAAAAATATACATCACGGTACGGTGTTAATAAAAAATATTTATTGAAATGGCCAAAATGGGCCAAAAATGGGTTAATGTGATCAGATTGGTTGCTGAAGGTTTTTAACGGGTATATATTCAATAAACAGCTGAGCTTACAGAATAGCTACTTTGAATGGGAAATTTTTCCCCAGTTTTGCACAGCCCTAGAGCATAAATGTACAACATAAAATTTAATTTTTAATCAGAAATTCTTAAGGTGCCAGAGAAACTATTTAAATTGAAATTCATAATTATGAGAATAAATTACACAAATTGGAGTTGACTCTATTGAATCCTTGCTAATACTAATAAGCATGAAAGGAAATCTCTGTTCAGTTTAGATAGAGAATTAAACACTTCATTTCAAAGGAAATTCCCCTCTTACTTGACCTTTCTGTTTTCTAACAAATCCTAAACCTCCTCTTTGCAAAGTGATAAAACATAATTATAGTGATTGTGAAAAAGAACCTGATATTTTTTTAAGATCTGAGAGCACACAATTTCTTAGAATATAAATGTAAAACATTGCTGCAGGACACTGTTAGCCGATCAATTTAATGGCTGTAACTCAATGAGTGACTTTGCTTAAAAACATCAGGTAAACTCAGAACTACAGACAGACAAGCCCCTTTACATGCTTCTCTTTAATTTATTCCAAGATAAAAACTGTTGCGTAATTTCATCCACTACCTTGGAATTTATAGTTGGCTTAACCTACTGGGTGTATAGCGAATTGGTAAAATTGAGAGATGTTTCTCCAAAACATTATTTTCTTATTTTATGAAAAAATATTGGTTTTATTACGTCAAGAAGACTGCAGGTTAAAATAAGACTTTTTACATGCAGAACTGTTATTTGGAGAAAAAGCTGCCAATACAGGGTTCCCACTCTTTAAACAAAGCAAAAATTAAGGACTTTTTTTTAAAAAAAAATTTATTAAAGACCTTAAAAATAGTATAATTGTTTATCATTGAATATACCACCAGTGACATTTCCAATTATTTACCTTTCTTGAAATAAAACTAATAAATAATAATAATAATTTTTTTTTATTATAATGTAACTAATGATATAATTGTATTAATTAACAGGGTTCGCCAAAGGTTGGTACAAAGTAGGATCAGGCAATTTTTGCTCAACCAGGTTGTGTTTTTTTTAAAACTATTTTCAGATTGTTAAATGTTAACATCTATAAACTAATCCATATTCCATATTCAATTATTTCATTGAAATTCAATAGTAAAATTAAGTGCAGAAATTAAGATTTGAAAATTTTTTTCATACATTAAAAAAAAAGAGTATTAAATAAAGAAATTTGAGAAAATCATAAAAAAATTATTAAAACAAGCTTTTATATTTCCCAGCTAGGCATGCATCACATATTCAGTTGTGGGCCAATTATGCTAAATATTCAGTTATTATGCGAAAAAGAAAAAGCCAAAAATTTTGTCTCTCTAAAGTGCTGTACCCTCAATGTATGGTCCATTCTAGGTGATTAAAGAATGACTATTGTAAAAAATATTTTTGTAAGACTGAAAAAATTGTTCCTATCAAGTATAGCGACACTGAAAAATTAAAGACTTTAAAAATCCTTGTACCAAAATTAAGTACTTTTAAGGGCTCTTATTTTCCAAAATAAAAATTAAACAGTTTTTAAGGACTTTTAAGGACCGCGGGAACCCTGCAATATAACATTTATGCAAAAATATACAGAATAAAGTGGTAGCTTAAAATCTTTCTCTTAAAATTTTTTTCTTCGAATTAGCTAAGTACACTTTATGGTCAGTTACAAACACTTCTAATTATGAATAAAGAAGTTCTTGTTAGTATGCTAAAAAAATTGCGGTAATTAAAAAGAGTTGCAACTTTAAATCCATTTGATTTTATGCACAAAACAGTTATTTCTTCAAAAATGGGTAAATTTTATTTAAGAAAATAAAACATGTCAGAAGTGAAATAAACAATATTTAGCAAATAAATATAAGGCTTTACAACCTACAACCATAGAATGGCTAATGTGCTTGGGTACTATCTTCAAACGAAAGTAATATAAAAGATTACATTACTTGCATAAATTATAATTATTTATTGAAAAATATTTTGCACAAAAAATAGTTTAAAATTGCTCTTCAAATTTAATAAATAAAAAAATTATGAAAATAAATTTCAAAATGCAGTGACAACTGATGTGTCAAAAGATATTAATCTTTCTTATTTCAGGAATTTTTGTACTTGAATTATAAAACTGATTTTTGCAATTGGAATAAATAAAAAGAAAATAAAAAACATAATGGCTTATCGTAATGGTGATAGCTGTGAATTTTATTGTTCTAGTTTAACCCATACTGCAAAGTGCCCGATTGTAAACAAAATTTGGTAATTAATTCAGTACAAATAAGGAAACCTTTTCTAGTTTTAAGATTCATTCCTAAATTCAGGTTGCAAATTATTTATCAACTGTGAAAAATAATACAATTAACGATAATAGTTTATTATCTGGTCCCATCTAAGATTTGAAACCCGAAGGTGAAGTTATTGAAAGCAAAGAACACCATGGTAAAGAGAAATGGGATTTCAGCAAAACAGAACAAAAATTATTGCAAGCAAAGGGAACCCCGATTTTACACCTTAATTCAATTTTATTCCTTTGAAAAAAGTTCAAACAAGTTTTATAATTACATTTTTCAAAGATATTCATTATGTGTAAAGAAGACGATTTCTGCATTTTTATACTTAAAATTATTATACATAGGTAATTTTATTAATGATTATATAAATTTTGTACTTGTCTCAGAATTTTTAAAGCAAATATGTTATTTCGTTTCAAAATAAGGAATAATTGAGTCATTGTCAACACCCAATGCAAGTAAGAATAAAAGAAATTTTATGCTGCAAAAAAGAGAAACAACACAAGTGCAATTTTTTTCCCCAGCTACAATGAACATTTTGTTTTCAATGATTGATTCTAAACTTTTGCATCTGTTAGACAATACGTGACAGTTGAGTTTAGTAAGGTTTGAAGTTTACTTACAGTTTTGATGCAATACGAGACTTAAAATTTCTAATTACTACCATAAATTTAGCTTATTTGTTAGCGTGACAAAGTACAGATACATGAATGACCTATTTGTAAAGGTCACAAGGGAAAACTAAAATTCGGAAACATTTTTACAAAAGTTCGTATTTCTATAATTTTGCTTACATTTTTCGATTCCTAATTTTGTTCCTTTTGACCACTTTAAATTTTGCTTAGCAGCCGCATTTTTCAAAAGAATGCCATTCTCTCTGCGTCACATTCATATGCACGCGTATGGAATGGATTAGAAAATGCACGCGAGCACACGTGTAGGATGCGTCTGCATCGCAAGCCCCAACCACATCAACGGATTTGAAAAATGTTTGCTTTCGTTATACTGGGAATATCTTTCAGGGCCATTTACTCAGCATTCGAAAAACTCCCATGCACCAATTCGAAGATGGGATTTTTTGCGCATACAGTGTAAATGACCCCTTAAACTTCGGAACGAAGGGTGTTGTTGTTATAGATGTAATTTATTTACGTCACACTTGAGCTGCACAATGGGCTATTGACAACGGTCTGGAAAGCATCCCTGAGGATGATCCAAAGACATGAAAATCACAATTTTGATTCTCGGCAAAGAGTATGGTAGCTCGCTTTGGGAGCCCGACAACCAGTGCGAGAAATCAAGCACTTTACAGTAGAACATTTTAACAAGGACCAATACCACCCCACCCTCCATCCCATCGCAGGCTAATTAAAGTGGTCACCCACCAGCACACTGACCTCAGGCAGTTATGCTTGTATTTGGTAATATGATGGAAATCTTGTAACGTTGGAATGGGTACCCATGGAGACATTTGAAACCTTTCTCACTTTAGGGATCATTCTAACTGTCTGCGAATTTTTCGCATGCGGAAAAATCTCGAGAGAATGAGAAATTTACTGGTAGAAAACATTTACTCGCTAAATACTCAATAATCAAAATGGACCCATGGCCTGATCTAGAAATGAGGAGGCCCCTTGATAGTTGTTTTGAACAAATTTTACCTATTGCTTAATAGTATTGTGTTTCAAACTTTTTGAAGAGGTGCTCCTCTAGGAAATGTAATCACTTGGGGGAGGCAGAAAAATAAATTAAAAACACCTATAAATTATTAAACTTTATATACATAATATAAATTCTTACTTTATATTCATTTTTATGAAGAAGAAAAATTATTTTTGGTTTATTCATTGCATATTAACTTTAAGAATTGCATACTAATTATATATAACTACAAATTCCGACATTTTCAATGTAAGGAAAATTTTATTTTATAGGTCACCTTTGCCATGAGTATCCGAATATCTTAAAGCTTCATTGTTAAAATGATTTGAAAATCGTAATGAGCTTTTTCCAATGGCGAATATTTATCATAGAATTAGGTCTATCATTATATCATAATACTAGGGAAAAAATGTAGAGAGAAAGTTAGATGGATACTTGGGATAATTGCCCTCTAAGATCTCTTTCCTGTATATCATTTCATTTTAATTTTACAAAGTCATGCCTGGAGAATATTGAATCTAAATAGAATATTCTTCCTTACCTTTAATAACTAATTTCAAATTGAAAAAAATTGTTGCCTCTGTTCTATTTTTTATAGTACAACTAAAAAGTGGGTATGACCGTCTTGTGGTTAACTCTTCAAACACACTGTATTATTCTCAGATGAATTAATGTATGAAACGAGATGTATGAAACGAATTAAATGTTTCTCAGATTTTTTTCAGTTAAATATTTTTGTCATAGTTTAGATATTCAAATTCATTGGTTTACATTAAAAAATAAAATGCATAAAAAATATAGCTCCTCTTGAATTCTTAAGCTAAAAAAAATTACGAAAAGAGTAAATGATTTTTACCGCCATACTTTAAAAATTAGTGAAAAACGTTTCATTGTAAATATCACGATCAAAAGTTATTTTTAAACAGTTTAAGGAAAAAGAAATAAAAACATTTTTTTTTAATAAAAAAACATACTTTATTAATTCATACAAATATTACTTTACATTATAGAATTCACGACAAACTAAAATAAATTAAAGAAATAATCAACTCAATAATAATTAAACTAGTCTGAAAACCACAGTTTCTCTAATGAAGTGAAAAATTAATTTAGACATAAATAAAGTGAATAAATTATAAAATTTAAACAACACAAATCATAAATACGAATAATTGATTTTGTGTTTATTATTCTCAAAGATATATAAAATTAAAATTCAAAATTATCTATAGTAAAAAAGCGCGTTAGCAATATTATTTTTGTTAAAAATTTATTTTAATTGTGTCAATTTATAATTTTATGCTTTCTAAAGACCTAATTAACTTAATTAAAAAGCAGCAACATCTGCTCTTAGTGTTCTTATTATTCACGTAACTCCAAAAATATTCCGTTATAATGAAAGCCATATATATACTTTTAATTTCAAACATAAATTTTTTTTTTGCTTCTATATATGATACAGCATCCAATTGTAACTTTAAAGAATGAGAAATTAGCAGGTACAGGTCTTTCCACAGCCAGTGTCAGAATCAGCACAAAATGTCTTACATGTGCTTAGGGAGCAGCATTGGCATGAATCTCCGCAGACGCAGACGGATTTTGTGTTGCAGCTGTTTGATCCACAACATTGACATGAATCACCACACACACAGCCAGCTTTAGTTTTGCAGGAACTTAAATTGCAGCATTGGCAGGAATCTCCACAGACGCAAGTTATTTTGGCCTTGCAGGTATTTTTCTCACAACATTGACAAGAATCTCCACAGACGCAGTCAGTTTTGGCTTTGCAGGTATTTTCACCGCAGCACTGACAGGCATCACCACACACACAGTCTGTTTTGGTTTTGCAGAAATCTGCACCACAGCATTGGCACGAATCTCCACAGACGCACTCAGATTTAGCTTTGCAGCATGTTGTTCCGCAACATTGACAAGAATCTCCGCAGACACAGGCAGTATTAGCTTTGCAGGAGCTTGTTTCACAGCATTTGCATGAATCTCCACAGGCGCAGGCGGTTTTAACTTTACAGGAGCTATTGCCACTGTATTTACAGGAATCTCCACAGGAATGGGCAGTTTTAGCTTTACAGGAGCTTTCGCCAGAGCATTGACAAGAATCTCCGCAGGCGCAGACAGTTGTGACCTTGCAGATATTTGCACCGCAGCATTTACAGGAATTTCCACAGACACAGACAGTTGTGACCTTGCAGGCATTTGCTCCGAAGCATTGACAGGAATTTTTACAGACACAGACAGTTGTGATTTTGCAGATATTTGCACCACAGCATTGGCAGGAATTTCCACAGTCGCAGACAGTTGTGACTTTGCAGGTATTTGCACTACAGCATTGACAGGAATCTCCACACACACAATCGGTTTTATCATTGCAAGTATTTGCATCACAGCATTGACATGTATCTCCACAGACGCAGGCAGTTTTGACTTTGCAGGTGTTTGCACCGCAGCATTGACAGGAATCTCCACAGACGCAGACAGTTGTGACTTTGCAGGTATTTGCACCACAGCATTGGCAGGAATTTCCACAGACGCAGGCAGTTTCGATTTTGCAGGTATTTGCACTACAGCATTGACATGTATCTCCACAGACGCAAGCAGTTTTGACTTTGCATGTATTTGCACTGCAGCATTGACATGTATCTCCACAGACGCATGCAGTTTTGACTTTGCAGGTATTTGCACTACAGCATTGACAGGAATCTCCACACACGCAGGCAGTTTCGATTTTGCAGGTATTTGCCCTACAGCATTGACATGTATCTCCACAGACGCATGCAGTTTTGACTTTGCATGCATTTGAACTGCAGCATTGACAGGAATCTCCACAGACGCAGTCGGTTTTAGCTTTACAAGTATTTGCGCTGCAGCATTGACAGGAATTTCCACAGACGCAGACAGTTGTGACTTTACAGGAATTTGCACCACAGCATTGACTGGAATTTCCACACACGCAATCCGTTTTAGCTTTGCATGCATTTGCATCGCAACATTGACAGGAATCTCCACAGACGCAGTCGGTTTTAGCTTTGCAGGTATTTGCACCACAGCATTGACAAGAATCTCCACAGACGCAGTCGGTTTTGGCTTTACAAGCATTTGCTCCACAGCATTGACAAGAATCTCCACAGACGCAGTCGATTTTAGCTTTACAAGTATTTTCACTGCAGCATTGACAGGATTTTCCACACACGCAGACAGTTGTGACTTTGCAGGCATTTGCACCACAACATTGACAGGAATCTCCACAAACGCAGTCCGTTTTAATTATGCATTTATTTGCAACACAGCATTGACAGGAATCTCCACAGACGCAGTCCGTTTTAGCTTTGCATGCATTTGCATCGCAACATTGACAGGAATCTCCACAGACGCAGTCGGGTTTAGCTTTGCATGCATTTGCATCGCAGCATTGACAGGAATCTCCACAGACGCAGTCGGTTTTAGCTTTGCAGGTATTTGCACCACAACATTGACAAGAATCTCCACAGACGCAGTCGGTTTCAGCTTTGCAGGTATTTGCACCACAACATTGACAAGAATCTCCACAGACGCAGTCGGTTTTGGCTTTACAAGCATTTGCACCACAGCATTGACAAGAATCTCCACAGACGCAGTCGGTTTTGACTTTACAAGCATTCGCACCACAGCATTGACAAGAATCTCCACAGACGCAGTCGATTTTAGCTTTACAAGTATTTTCACTGCAGCATTGACGGGATTTTCCACACACGCAGACAGTCGTGACTTTGCAGGTATTTGCACCACAGCATTGACAGGAATCTCCACAGACGCAGACGATTTTGGATTTGCAAGTGCCTGAGCCACAGCATTGAAGAGAATCTCCAGATGCGCCAACAACTTTGCAATGACACTTTTGGCCGCCTTGACAGGCATCTCCACAAGAGCAATCTTTAGAGGTTTTGCAGGATTGGTTTCCGCTGCATTTGCAATCATTTTCGCATGTGGCTTTGTTTTTACATCCTTTTTCTTCGCAGCACAAACACATCTCATCACTGTCTAGCTTAGATGCTTGGCAACATCTGCAGCAGGGACAGACATTTTCACAGGTGCAAGAGTTACCCTCGCAGCATTGTGAGGTGCAACATTTACAGTCACCACCGCAGCAGCATTCCTTTCGCTGAATTTCTTTTGTTTCCATGATAGCTTTTTGGTCTGAAACAAATACATAAAAATTAAGTTATTAAACTTCTTTTGAAAATTTTTAAGTTCATTTATAATTTACTCATTAATAGATATACTTAATTAAAGTAATAGAGATAGATAATTATTGTTCGTCGAAACGGCAAATGCATAATTTATTTATTTTTGAAGGAAGTAAAATTTTGACTTTTTGAAGTTTAAACTTCCCTAAATGTTTTCTATGGCTCATGTTAATTTTTTATTTACTTTTATAGGTATTTAATCAGAATTACGAAAATAAATGTATCTAAGACAATCTTGTATTTTTTAAAATCATAATTATGTTTTAAACAAAGAAATATCTAAATAGTGAAGAGAATCTTTATGAAGAAAATATAAACTATTTTCAAGTATTATTACAAATAAATTACATAAATAATTTAGCTAGCTTAATTATAATAACCCCAGAAATGCCTAACAATGTTTTTTATTAGTGCAATTAATTATTCATGCCCCATACTCAATGTCCAACAAAGTTTTTGCTTAAATTTAGCTATTGGCTTTTTTTTTTTTTTTTTTTTTTTTTTTTTTTTTTTTTTTTTTTTTTTTTTGCTTTTGCTATTATTAGTTTTGCAATGTATCTATGTTGAATATTTGATACAAGATTGAGAAAATTTTTTTTTATTCTTTAATTTATTTAAAATTGTAGTTTATGACTGTACTATTGGCCATCGAATTAACTAGTAACTGATGTGAAACTTAAATAATGAAATGAAAAAAATGTGGACTAAACAAAAAATAGTACATGCGTTTTCTAATAGGGAATGCAAAATAAGTAAAATATCCTAATCCAGAACCATATTATAACATAATAGTTTCTTTTTTTTCAAAAAGAAGATTATGTTGGTGACGTTAAGAAAATATAAAAGGTGATTCAAAAATATTTTTTCAACTTCGAGACCTAATATAATAAAGTAGATAAGTTTCGTTGCTTGCATATGTATCAACAAAAAGTAAATATTTTTTCTTATGATCGTTAGCTATTTGCTTATAAGTCCTCTATTGATATTTGGTCACTAACCAACTTATTTCTCTGTTGTAATTAGATTAAAACAACATAAATTGAAGAGTTGAATTCCCAATTATTTGAATAATTGAACCATCAAGTAGTTAACACGAAACACATAGGTAAGCAAGACAACTGAGTTTTCTTATTTCATTCATGCTTGCTGATTAAAATTTGGAAATTTTTTGGTAAGATAAAAGGAGTTCATAGAAAATTCTCTAAACGACACTCAAAATTTTGCTTTCGCAATGTACTTTGAGAATTGACTTTTAAGAAAACAAAATAATCGACAAAAACTAATCTTTTAAAAAATATATTTCATTAATTTATCGAACAATTAATAATACAAATTTAGAAAAACAAATACAACAATGTTCGACAAAATGCTGCATTAATTTATTGAGCAAATTAATTTTAAATTTGGATTGAATCCTATTTTATTGAAAAATGTTATTAATTTACTTTATTACTTCTTTAACTAAGTATTCTAAGGCTCAAAGACATATCTGAATTTCCGTTTGATTCGTAAAATAGTGTTAAAAACAAATGAATCCTTTCCAAGACTTTCTTTAAAAAATATATATCACTAATTTATCAAACAATTTATAATATTAATTCAGAAAAACAAACAAATAGTATCTTCAATGAAAATACTGCATTAATTTATTGAACAAATTAGTATTAAATTATGATAAAATACTATTTTATTATAAAATGTTATTATTAATTTGTTATAATAATTTTTTTACTAAATATTTTTAGGCTTAAAGATACATTCGAATATCCCTTTGATTTGAATAATAGTGATATAAACAAATGAATAATTAATCCTTTTAAAGACTTTTCTTTTAAAAAATATATTTCATTAATTTATCAAACAATTTATAATCAAAATTAAGAAAAAGCTGAAATTTCGTATATTTGAAATAATAGCACGAAAAAAACTAATAAAACTTTTAAAATTATATTGAATTGATTTATTGTACAGCTCAATTTTAAATCTTGATTCATTTTAATTTTATTTTAAAATAGCATAATTATATATTTCCCTCAAGCCTAATAATGTTTCTCATTCTTGCAGATATGAGAAATTTTGTCTAAATAAAATAACAGAGCTAAAATAAACAAATAGTATTTTCAAAGAAATGTTGTATTAATTTATTGAGCAAATTATTATTCGCACTATTGTTTAAAAATTTCATTAAATTCCATTATATATTAAAATGTTATTTTTAATTTACTTCGTTAATTGAAGCTTTTATTTTAATTAAGTGTTCTTAAGCTCAAAGAAACATCCGAATTTTCATCTGATTTGAATAATAGCGCTAAAAACAAATGAATAATTAAAGAGCTTCAAAGATTATGATTCAATAATTTATTTAACAATTTAATTTAAGTATTGTTATATAACTTTAATTCCCTTATTCTCCACGGGTTCTAAAAAACGCAAAATTTTAAACGTCAGTTTTAATATAAAATAAGGGTAAAAAATTATTAATTCTACACAATACTCAAACAATTTGATTATTAGGACTTTAATAAGATAATATCGCAAAACAAGTAAATTGCGTTAATCAATTAATGAAAGCCATCATAGATTTTAAGCGTATTTGTTTTACACAGAAACACTGAGATAAGAAGTTGAACACTCTAGGAATTGTATATCAAAATCGAATCTGACATTGAATATTTATCTACATTTGACATTCAGACTTATCGCTTCTGATTACAGAAAAATCACAGAGCATGTATACAATCAAAAACTGATAAAACTCATGAAACTGACTTCTCAATAGTTTAAGATATCAGGAAGATAATACGTAATCAACGCTGCTCCCCTACGATTCCGCTAACATAATGTCTACACACAGAAAATGAGTTTTCTTTTTTTTATCTAAAAGTTGAAAGCCATTCACGAAAATAATTATAATAAATAATTGAAATTTTATAATGGAAATAATGAAAATTTTATACAAATTTGTTTATATTCTATAAAATATAATTTGAATTCCAAACTGAAAATTTTTCATTTAGGAAAAAATGTGAAATTACTTTAATTGCAAAAGATATATTTGAAAAATAGGCAATAGTAATCAAATAATATGTCACTATTAACCAAAACATGCAATGGCTGGCCAAACATGGATCTTAAAAACAATAGTTTGAACTTTCATGAATATTTTAAAATTTATAACCAAACAAATGCAAAACAAAATCATATCTTTGATGGAACAAAACTGATTGAAACAAAACTCACGTATTTATTTTAATCACATTAATAAAAAATCAGCGATTCCAGCACAGATTAATAAATAATGCTTTCAAACTTTGTGCGACTAGCTTCATTCAATAATTTATTGTTATTGTAAAATATGAAACAATCAAATAAATAAGGTTTATGCAGAATGTTAAATGTTTTTTTCGATTTTTTAAGTATTTTTATTTTCGGAAGTTTGGTGGATAAAAAAAATAATAAGTAAATAAGAATTAAAAAAAAACAACAACATTAAATATCATTACTAAATGTGGTAACTTGTTTAATGTGATTGCATTTCGAAATATTTGCCTCGTAATTAACACTCCATATTGATTTAGATACAAAAAGTTAATTACAAAATTAAATAAAAATATGAACAGTTTTTATTAACAGTACATAATTAGTTTTTCTTTTTAATCTTTCAAACATTGAAATTAGTACTAAGATTCTGGGTAATTATAAAAAAATAGTTGAAATAATTTATTCATTTAAAAATCAATGTAAAATTTACAAACTAATAATTAAAAAAAAAAAAAAAAAAATTGAAAAAATGTGGAGCATGATGATAAATGATAAAATTTAGAGTAATATCACTTGTTGAAAAATAGTCATTTTTTTTGCTTTCTCAAAATGGTAATTTACACCGTTTCGAATTCAATTTGTTTAACTGTGTCGAAATCATTTGTTATTTGGTTAAATAAATTTAAAAGATTTATTATTAATCTTTCTGAAAACAATTCGTTTATTGCATCTGGCAAGCAAGCAGCAGATAACTAAGTAGTTTTTTTAATACACTTTTTAATCATCAGTAGGTTTTTATAACACTTTTTAATCATAAGTATGTTTTTAATACACTTTCTAATAAATTTAAATAGAATATGGGAAAAAATGAATCCCTAACAGTATTAGGTATTAATGTTTTTTTTTATTGAGCTATTTGCGAAAAGATTTATTTACATTTTATGTTTACTTTCAAACTATTTACATTTTATTACGTTATTTTTACTATTTACATTAGATTATCGCAGATATTGAAACTAAAAGCAAATATTAAACAAAAAATAATTAGTTTCTGCAGAATGTATACTCAATGTCCAACAAAGNTGATGACATCAACTGCGCCAAAATAGAAAGAATATTTATTTAAACATAAAAAAAACATTACTCAAATTATAATTTCTCTAAGGAGCTTGGCAGATCTTTAAATATGTATAACACATATTTAATATTCAGCTGGTAATAAAATGGAACTTAATGCTTGAAGTTTTCAGATTTGTTGAATTTGTCATCCTATTCTCATTTTTAAAATTCGCAATATTTCACAGAAATGTGAATAATTTATTGTCAGTACTATGATTTGTTCCTTAAGAATTCAACAGATGGCGCTTTATGTACTTGCATTAAAACTTTTCTAAGAGTATGGAATTAAAAGCAATTTCCAGTAATCAGGAAAAAAATTAAAAATTACTTTGCTTTAAAGGATATGAGTGTTTTAAGAAATTTATTCTTATTTTAGTAAAATAATTATTTTATTCAAATTTTAAATAGCTGAAAGCAAAACATTTGAACAATACTTTATAGAATTTTTATCTAAATATTTTAAGAATATAAAATTTAGCCGGTGAGAATAAATTTGTAGAAATCCTGAAAAAAAATATATATTAACGGAGGAGACGATATTTTTAAAAGATTTTTTTGCCTGATTCTTATTAAAAAATTAATTAGATATTGGACAAAGAGTTTAAAAAAAAAAATTAAAGTTGAATTTTTGTTTGATTTGCATGATTTAATAATTTAAAAAAAAAAAAATCTGATTAGCTTTGGGTTGTACAAAGTTCAAGTAAGACATGCATATTTGAATCATTTTTACACTAGATACAAGGCAATATCAATCAAAGTACACAAATGTATTTTTTTCATAAAGCAAATAAATAAAAAATAAGCAAATAACTCAAAAATAAATAAATAAAAAAAAAGTTTCATAAGATGCTTAATTCGTGGTGATTTAATGATGAAAAAACAGAGAAATAATGTATATATTTTTTCTCATCTATTTAAAAAATTTTTTTAAAATTTTTATACAATAAAACAGTTTTAAAAGTAGAAAATTCTTCGAAATTTAGATTATTTTACAATTCCTATGTAGCGATTAAATGTTTAAACCTCATTGCGCTGTTTTAAACTTTACGAACGGTACAATTAAGAAAAATGTACTTGATTCGCTTTTAAACTACTATACAAGACATATTTTCCATCTTAGAGCATAATAATTCTTAAAACAAAATTTTTTTACTGAATAATTTTGAAATTTCTTTTTTTTTAAATTTATACTCAATAAAACAGTTATAAAAATAAATTTAAAATGTTTTTTTTTTTTAGTATTTAAAATGTTTTTTAAATAAAGAAACGATTTTTTTTTAAACGACATATATTAACAAACTATTTTAAAATGAAATAGAGGAAAAACTTACCAAATAAGGAGGATTATTTCAGTAGACTAAATCACCCAAAGGCTTCTAAAATTGCTTCAAACAAAAACAGATTATCAAATCTAATTAACTGCCTATGCTCCACCCCCTTTCTTTTATAGTACTCTAAAAAGAGCTGCGTTCACAAGGTGGGGTAATGAGTGCAACATTGCACACGATTACTGAGAGTGCCGTGTGGAAATTTTGAGCACGAATTGCTTTTTCACCAATAGGATCGTGTTTGCACATGTTACTTTTCGATTAATTAACCAATAGGAAGAAATGCCTAATCATGAGACATAAACAATTGTTGTGTGGAAATGTGATGACGCAAGATTAGACTGGAAATATCTAGAGGCGTCATGAGTTAACTTTGGCGGAACGCCAATTGCGTCATTTCGTTACGTTTCTTTTCCTTTTTTTTCTTTTGTAATAATAATGAAAGGGCTTATTTTTTTTTTTTTTAATCTTTTAAGTTTAATAATAAGCACATGGAGGATTAAAATAAATTCTTTAGTTTTGGATATGAAAACAAATACATTATTTTCAAGATAAAACTGAACAACGTGTGCAGACACAGAAGTTTCTTTAAAATAGGAAACACTATTTGCATTTGAAATAATAAATAAATTTCTAAATCATTAATTAATATTTTAGTTTTTTTAAAGTCATACACAATATTTGCTCTAATAGTACAAGCATTTTATTCAAATCTCACAGACATAACGATTAAATTCACATTGTTCTTTAAGTATTATTTTTGATTAAACTAAACAACGTGCAGATTCATAATTTTTTTTAAGAGGAAATTTCTTTAAATTTAAAAAGTATATATTTTTCCTGATAGTATGTCCTGATAGTATTAAAGATTAAACTGAAGAATGTACAGATTTTAAAAAATGAAAGTTCATTTATACATTTTTTAATGTCGTAGAATCATCTCATTGTTCCAATAGTCGTTTCTTTTAATGTAAACTTGACGAATATTTAAGGATTAAATTCAAATTTTAAAATAGTAATATTTTTAAGTTTAAACTGAACAACGTGCAAATGCACAATATTTTTTTCTTTTAAAGAAACATCACTTAAATTAAAATTTTCTTTTCTTACTTTTTTTTTAAAGTTGTACATTCACATTGTTCTTACAGTGTAAACCTTAATACCCAACTAGAATGGGGTGGAGCCTCTTAACTGTTTCGTTCGTAATTACTTGTCTCCTCTTGAGGTGAACTCCAAAACCAGGAAAGAGATTCAACCGGTACGTTGTGTATATTTGAGGAAGGGTGAAAAACCAACACACATTTCAGACTCCGGTTTTTGTTTATACTCAGAGCTAATATGAGGCAAATATTTACGTTTTAGCTTCATGCGCGGTTAATAGTTAACGAAATGAAAACGTCGAAAAAGGAGAAGTTGACAATTGGATAGGAAGTTCATTGATAGGAAGAAGGAAAACTGAAGTGCATCATTGACGAGCAGGTGAGTGGAAAAATTAATTTTTACTCTTCACTAGTTGTACAGTGCACCAAAAAAACGAGCCATCCTAGATAACTTTTGATCTTCTGATCGGATCTTCACGTTCTAGGACTCAATCTTCTTGTTTCAAGGGGGGTGACCTCAAATATACTAATTAATTAGAGCAGATAATATTTCAAGTTACGAAATCAGGCACAAAAACATGCTTTTTCTGAATAAACACGGTAGTAAGGTTGAAAGTCATTTATTCAGCAGACTTTGAAACGTTTTTCTGTAGAATTATCTGTAATAAAAATATCGATTTTGCCTCAAAATCGTTACAGTGGCGTTTTTTGAATACGAAAGACCGAAATGTTGTGAAAACGCATCATTTTGTAACAATGCTAAAAGTCCTTTACTCAGCAGACTTGAAATTTGTTAAACAGATTGAAAACGCTTTACAGTAACATTATCTTAAATAAAAATATGTCTTTCATTTTTTAAAAAAAAAATGCTGTGGCTTTTTCTCTTCATAAAATCATCCGGAATGTAAATATAGCATTTTGTAGCATAAAAAGTCCTCTTATGAAAAAGATGATAGAGAACTTATGATTAAACTAATTTGAGACTTTCTAGTGTATTAGTATTGCAGCATCTTTACTCGATGATTTCAGATCAGATCAATATATGGATGTTATTAGCACAAATGCATTGCTTCTCCAAGATAAATTTGAATATAAAGCAAAAATAAATATAATTATATAAAACAGAAATAAATAATATGTAAAATTTTAATTGTTCATTGAAGCGTTAGCTTTAAATACGCAAAATTTCAAACAATATTCTGCTCCTATACCAATTTATGTCATCAATTAATTGCATTAAAAAAAATCAATTACGAATTATTTTTTTAACTAAAATAAATTAAGTTCTCGTTTGGAGAAATAAAAACTTACAAATTTTTTTAAAAAGAAAAACACTTCATTTCAGGCAACAAAAAAATCACTTTTATTAAAAACAACTTTTAAATAATTTTAGTTGGTGAGTCTAAAATAGAATTATTCTGCGATTATATGACTTTATGTCACCAATTCCTTGGAATGTTTTTCCTTCACATTATTCAAAACGAATTCATTTTTAGTTAAAATAAACAAAATTTTCCTTCCAAGAAAGTTAGCACATCTTTGTTTCAGGAAACAAATAAATTCTTTTTAGCAGAAAGCAGCTTTCAAATGAATTTCGTAGCGAATCTAAACGAGAAAAAAAGTTCGTTGTAATTTAAAACGTGTAATAGAAACTTAAAGAAAATTCTTTTCGCGAGATCTCTGACAAATTACAGTCCTAAGAAAATCTCTTTCTCTCCAGGGAAGTGGTCATGGAAAAAAATGAAGAAAAAGATCTATAGTCTAGACTGAAATAGATAACTATAGCAAAAACGTTTGCAGAAAAATACTTAAGTGTCTAAAAAAATGGCTCTAGCATTCCAAATAAAATGTATGACGTAATTATTTACAATAGAAGTAAAAAGTTCTGTGTTTAAGAACAGCAAAAGAAAAATGAGCGGAAAAACTTAACCTGTTAGTATTTCGAACTTATTTGGAACTATAATTTTATACTAGTAAACGTTTCCGGTGTCCTATTTCTGGCTCCTTAAGGCGTACAACGTTAACGCAGAATAATTTTGATCACAGTTAGATTACGAAATAAGTCTGAGCTGATAAAAAAAAATGTAAAGAATACACACTATGTGAATACACTAAGAAATTGAAATTATCAGACATATTTTTTATAGCGTTGTATATTTTAGCAAAAATGCTTGTTTTAAATCTTATTTTTGACAATATTTTTTTAAAAAAAAGTGAAGTTTAATTTTAAATGTAGTTTAAGACACATATTTAATAATCATTTATTAAAAAGTGCTTTAATTATCCCTATAAACTTTCAAAAAATTTTTTTTAATTAAATTTTGTAAATGAGTTATTTTGCGAATTTGAAGTAGTATGCGAATTGTCCAAAATAATAATAACAGAAGAAAAATAAATAATTAGAAATTAAAAACAATCGTTGTATATTTCAACTTAATTATTAGCCTTGATCTATAAATATTGCTAAGTATAATTTTCTAAGACGTTAGTTTAAATATTTTGTACCAAAATTTAAATTCACGTGATAATTAACTGAATTATAATTTAATTCGTGTGATAGATAACCTTACTGTTTGTTAATTAGTGTTATAATTTACAGTACTGTAATTTAATTCGAGCCATAATTATCCGTGCTATAATTCCTTTTGAGCTACAGTGCCGTTAACTAAGGCGAACTTGCGAATATTATATTCATTGGAAGTAAAAAACTTGCTGTTTCACACGATATCATAGTTTAATCACGAAAAATAAAACGCTTTACATTAGTAGCGGTATTAACTTCCTTACGAAGTTTTTTGCTCACATTATAATTTAGAAATTAAATTATGTCAGAGAGTTGGGCGATTGGTCTAAGTCTAAACTAGCAGAATCGTCAATGATTTAATTAAAGATGTGATTTAGACCGCTTGGAAAATAGAACAGATAATTAAACAAAAATTCTTTCATTAAGCTCTCTAAGTACATCCAAAACAATTAACTAAAAAAAATTAAATCTAAAAAAGACATTCACACTCAGCGTTTTTGGTATTGACGTTGCATGTTTCATTATTTCATAATTTTTCTTGCTTTGGTCGACCATTTTTGACCATTGGTTGACCATTTTCTTGCTTTGCTTATATATATATATATATATATATATAAAAACAAAAAAAATGAAAATCCTTATAGCAATTTTGTTTATGGTATTGGTGTTAAGACATTGGTGTTTCTGGTGTTAAAAACTGTAAGCAACTAACAAAATTCAACCTAGGAGAGCCTTTGATGGTGTATCAAAAGCAATCAAATACGTGCTTTATCCAATGAAAAAGGCTAAATTCTTCCTGAATAAACCTATTTCTCATGTTACATTTCAGATATTTGTCAGAAATGTCCGGAAGATATGTAATAATACTTGACAACCAATCAAAAGAAAAAACATCCAATAATATAAGCCAAGCATTTTTCGTTGGAATAGATATTTGCAACAAATATGATTTTGAACGTTTTCTAGATAAAATTTCTCACTTTCACTGCTGTAACTTTTTAACGTTAATCATTTGACTTCCGAAATTGTATATAACAATTTAAATAATATTTCTGTCGTTTTTAGCTCTTTTACTTATTATTGACACTTATTATCGTTTTTAGCTCTTTTACTTATTGCATTTCTATGACTTAATAATGTATGTATAATGTTTAAAAATGTATAAGTGCGTAAACTAAAATACTTATAACTAATTTTTTTATAATTTGAAATTAATTTTTCATAATTTACAATTTTTTTTAATCATAAACATTTTTTTATAGGTTATAATTAATTTTTTCATAATTTATGATTTTTTTTATAATTTATAATTCATTTTTCAACTTTTTATTATTAATTTTTTTAATTAGTTAAAAGCATGTAAAAGTAAGAAGCGAAAGTCAAGATCAATGTTAATGACTTCTACGGAACAATTATAATTCCCTTTACTACTCTTAGATCCATTCTTTTAAGCAAAATCTCATAAAAATGACACAATATTTAACCACACTTTTTCCATAATATATATATATATATATATATATAT